GAAGAAGAAGAAGAAGAAGAAGAAGAAGAAGAAGAAGAAGAAGAAGAAGAAGAGGAAGAAATGAAGAAGAGTAGCAGCAGCAGCAACAACAACAAATAAACAACAATAAAAACAACAAAACTTACGAGCTGCACAACTATTGTCCGTGATATTCCTGAGATTACACAGGTCCCCGTATATCGAATCCTTTTTGGACGTGCTTTCCGTGACTTCTGACGTCACATTGTCACTTCCGGTCATGGCGGCCACGCTGTATCTGGCTCCGTACAGGAAGTGAGGAATGCAGCACACCAGCCCCGAGAGGCCGAACATCATGGTAGCGTAACCTGGTGGTGCAACGTGGGACATTACACGACATTACATCGACAGTTTTTGAGTGGGTGGCTGAAAGGTGCTCTTGTGTGGTTTGCGTCTTTTTTGCCATCAAAATTCTGTCCCCCTTATCTCGCTCGCCCTTCTTTTAATTCGATTTTACTCTGCAGTTACACTTTATACTATTGCACTTATAACGCCTATTTTGCTGCAAGTACCATAAAACCCTTTATTAAAAAAGCAAAAATTTGAGAAAAAAGTTTTCACAGATTCATACTCTCGCAGTTTAAATGGTTTACGTCTTACTGTTACGCGTCAAACTGAAGAAACGTCACATGTCAGATTGTCTCGGGCTTTTAGCACCGTGTGCAAGGGCATCTGTGTCAGAAGTGTGTAGTGTGTATCTCATATTTTACAAGAAGTGATGTTAGAATCGTGTGTTTCTAAGTGCACAGTTATCAAACATGGGCACTATTTGTGTGCCCTTCGTTTGACTCCCAATTGAGTCAAATGTTGCGCTCAATATAAAACCGGAAGTACGTAAGAGTTCAGAGTCTAGAGAATACAATACAACTGTATGAGTCCTACCTAAAGATCCAAAATTACCTTAGTTTGCACGGTATAGGAGCCTTACCTAAATATCTACAAATTTCGTCAGAGAGTAAGATCTAAAGTATAATGATACTCTTCAAAGAGTCCAACCTAATGTTCTATGATTACGACAGAGTGTACAGTCTAGAATAATATATTATTAAAAATACAAATCTATAAGTGTAGCCTAAAGTTCCGTAATTACGTTAGAATGTGCTATGTAGGGTATATTAGAACAAAAATCTAAGTCCAACCTAAAGATCTTGGAATGTGGAGACGAGAGGCCGAGTAGCTGACGAAAAGGACGCAGGCGAGATAACCAATGTCGTTGGCGGCCATTATGATGCCGGTCTGGTGAGAGTTGAAGCCGAACTGTCGCTCTAGGGTGGTCACCTAGGGGGGGGGGGGGGGGAGGAGGGAGAGAGAAAATGAAGGGAAAAAAGTGAAAAGATTGCAGGATGACGAGGACGGCAATGAAACGATCATGGATGATAAAA